GTGTAGGTTACGCCTAAGTTTTACTCCACAAGGGTCTCGAAAGTATAGATTGTAAACGGTTAATGACAGAGAACTGCCCTGATTTGGTGCAATTTGGTCTGAAATAGAGTATCGCGCTGGTTGGGCTCATTTGCTCATTTTACAGCCCAATATATTTTCCAACAATATTTCCGACACATTTCTTGTAAGTTATAAGCAAGCACATTCAAAAGGGCAAATATTTGCGTCTGGTTATGTATGTCAACAACACTGCAGTTGTTGAGCCAAGTTTGCTCATATAAATGAGCAAGGTTTTATGTTCATGGAAATTAATTAGGGTACATTACATTGCCAATTCGGAACAAATTCTCTTTCTACTCTTTTAAGCCTTGATATCATTATCCTCCTTGTTATAATACCCCATTTTCACAGTTATACAAAGAAAAAGAAAATTTATACTTGCAATAGATTACAATAAATTCAAGATAAAACTTAGAAATCAGCAAGATGGAAAAAGTCCAGTTTTTCTTGTTTTTATCGCTAGCTTAACAAAGTCTCTTGATCACTGCAGTCGGAGACATCCATTTCTTTTGGCACAGCAGCTATCCTGAACATGAAGGCAAACGTTCCTTATTCATTTTCACACACACACCACAAGCCTTCAAAATGAACAGACCAAACTCATATTTGCCTTAGGGGATAAGCACAACAGATCCAGATGTTTTCCTATTCTCAAGGTCTTCGTGTGCCTGTGCTGCTTGAGACAATGGGTACGTGTGATTTACTCGAACCCGCAATACACCTGATTGAACATTACCAAATACCTCTCCCGCCATCCCTAGCAATTCGTCTCGAGTTACAGCGTAATTGAAGAGTCTAGGCCTAGTCAAGAATAGTGACTTCACTGCAATGCTGACAATGGAACCGGATCTGGTGCACCTGATGACTGCCCAAAACTCACCATGTATCCACGAGTCTTCAAGCATGCCAGTGATCCCTGAATACAACAATAACTCCCAATTAGGGATTCTTTGTCCAAAATACAAATTACCAAAAGACTGCCTACCCAGAACTCATTATCTAACAGATTATGTTGATCTGGGAGACCAGTTGGGCTTGCAACATTTGGATAAATCATGCCACAACACACTTATTTGAGGGTGTCTTTTCTTCTTCTCTTTTAATTACTGATTACCAACCGTTTGCACTACCACAATCACAATGTAACTAACTTTAGGGTCTATTAAGGAAGAGTGATTTCAGGTCTAAGAATTTAGTAAATAAAATATAGCTAGATTGACTAATCCAACATAAAAGCCTTTTGTCAAAATCCAACTCCTAACTTTAAAGCATTCCGTCTAAATGGACCCCCTCATCTTTTAAAAAATTCATAAACCTGGCTCAAATTCAAAAACAACTGGTTTCACAGGCCTGGTCTAGCATTGAGAAACTTCAGCACCATGTTAGGGGGAAGCCTACTCAAATGTATTCATGCAGAATTTGAACAGTGTATGATCTCTCCCTAAACACCCTTGATTGTGTTTTCGTTCATTTGTAGAAAAAAGGGAGAAGAAAAGTATAGCTTACCTCAAAAGTGTCCTTCCCTACAGAATCATAAACAACCTCGACCCCATTGTCAGATGTTATTTCTTTCACTCGAGCAACAAAGTCCTCCTCCTTATAGATTATGACATGGTGACATCCATCCTCCTTGGCTTGAGCTGCCTTCTCTTTAGTATATACAGTTCCAATGACAGTGGCACCAAGGGCATTAGCCCACTGGCATAAAAGGGATCCAACTCCACCAGCTGCTGCATTGACAAGGACTGTGTGTCCAGGTTCAACCTGTATAACAACACTCAAGTCAGACCTAATAACAAAAGCAACATAAGTTTCAATTTTTTTAAACATATATAACATTAGGAAAGAGGATGGGCTATGTTAAGCATGCAATTGTAGAATGAACCCAAATTAAGATTGAAGCACTTAGTTGATTACACGTTGCTGGTTTACAATAGAGCTTGTTTTTTAAGGTGCACTATCTTGAGAACAAGAATGGTAGTTTTATCTTACACTTATTGAATTCATACTTAGTTGTTATGTTTCTTTTTCTTTCCACAGATTGTCTGGTGGAACGGAATCAACAAGAGAACAAGAATGGTAGTTTTATCTTACATCAGATAATGATAGGACATGTTTTTAAAATTTATAGTCTCAAAGGAACAAATATAAATAGGGAGGGAGAGAGAGAGCTCCTCAACTCCCATGAGTGCTCATGATTAACAAATGAAAAAGACTAACTCAAACACAACTGAGCATACTTTGTCAAAACAGGGGCAATTCTGCCCAAAAAGTTTTACAATGACAACAATAAAGATCAAAACAGTATTAACAGTAATGAAAATTCTCCTTGACAGGAAAACTCATAGGTGCATGCTAATAGCTCTAAAAAAATGTTTTGCAATGCCACACGCATATTCAAGGAATATTAAAATTAGCATGGCCTAAAATATCACAACCAGGATGTGGTTATCTTAATGAGTGGTTAATGACTTCCTGAAATTCCAGATGCTGCTGCAGAAATATAACGCTACCTTGAAACAACTGCGTAGTAGAAACTGAGCTGTCATACCCTTGAGCAAGAGGGATGCAGCAACAGTAGGATCAATGGAAGGAGGAACAGGCACAACTCTGTCTGCAGGAAGGATCTGCTCTTCCGCATATGAGCCCATTGGCTGACCAGCATAGGCTACAAGATCTCCAACTTGCCTGCCTGTTAGTCCTGGTCCCACAGCTGTCACAACTCCACAAGCCTCAACACCTGAAATCTGTTTTGATTTGTAAATAAATTGTGTAAATCCATTATCAAAGCCCAAACAAGTTTTATATGTAAATATATACAACAAATCTAACAATGGAAATCGTTCTCTGATGTCATGCTCTGCATTCTTGTATTATGTTGTATTAGGTTCACCCCAATCGTCCCTAACCATATTTCAAAAAATATACTCTCATGGTAAAGGTTTATTAGAGAAAACTGTGAAGAAAAACCAAAATTTTAAAAAAGAACATGAAGTAAAAAATTGGCTAGAAGTCAATCTTGGTTGAACTGTACCTTCATAATCTTATATGGTAAAGGTGCTGTCTTAAGATAAGTTTACTTAAGTTGTGCTTTAGCTTCTAACCTATCTTTGGTTGGAGTAGTTTTAGATGAATCTTTCTTGCTTTCTGCTTATAATGGGCAGATTCTCTCTTTGTTGTATAATCGAGGATAGCTTTTCCTCTTGATTATCAATACAAATGTTTCTATTCAAAATAATAATAATAATAATCTTAGAAATGCAGCAAAACCTGGGGTGTAGGGGACCGTAGCAGCCTTATAAATGCCTTTGCGGTAGTATACATCAACGAAATTAAGCCCAATGGCCTTGTTCTTCACACGAACCTCTCCCTCCTTTGGCTCTCCTACTTCCACATCCTCCTTTGTCCCAACTCATCTATTCAGGGGTATGTTAAGTACTTGTTTAAAACAGCAGACCCTGTTCTGGGCTCTTGCTTTGTTTATGGTGTGTGGAGCCGCCAGGGAGATTGTTTTTCAGGACTGTTGTGTTGTGGATTGGAGTTGGACAATTATATGTTGAGGCTAGCAAGTAGTTGCAGGTAGATGATTCTTTTTTCTTCTTTTTAGTTGCCTTGCCTGAGAATCTGAGATTGATATTGGCATGTTAAGATTCTAAAGAAGATAATAATGGGGATGTATACTAATATTAGTTATCTGGTATCAATTTTCAAAAGTTATCAACTTTATGAGTAGATGTTTTCTGCGATGGTTGTTGTTTGACTGAACAGTTGTAATACTGATTATAGTCAACTTCTGTTAGAGTTGCTTGGGATAATAATGCTTCTAAAAGGAAGGAATTGTGAACTAAAACAGATTGAGAGTAGTGGGCCTGGGCCTAGGCCAAGTCTGAAAGATTGAATTGCGAATAGTCGCTTTAATAAATCGTAACGAGGTGAAGAAACAAAGGCCTTTGGGCCTATTGGGCTCATTTCATTCATTTTGAAGCGCATAAGTGATGATTTTTGGCCCACTTTGATCATATGCTTCAAACAACCCAAAAAAAATAAAATGTACCTAACACTAAAAACTAACACAATTGTTTCTTAAGCTTTGCTACAAATTTTTACGCATACATATATCTATATACCAAGTTTTGACAATTTGACTGAAGCCAAATTAGTGTTGGGGACAAAATTAGAAACAAAGTGTGGAAATTTGGATATCATGATGAATTGCTCCCTAAATAGAATTTAAAAATCAAACACAACATAGTTGATAGCTATATCAATTAACCCACAACATTACCAATAAAGTATAATGCCAATATGCATATAAATGAATGTAATTTGATTCAAGTAATGAATAATCATATATACATATATATATATATATATATATATATATATATGATCTGTCTACTTTAATTAAATAAAGGTGTAGAAAATCTCGTTCTTGAGAATGTTATGTTCACCACCAAGTTATGTGACATATTGATCAATTGGGCTGCTCCCTCATTTTTATGCGCAACAGAAAGTTAATTTGCTGATAAAAACAAAACAATGACCAACTCTCTCTCCTGCCTCTGCGGTGGGAGTAGAGTAGAGTAGGGGACCACTCCAATATGAAAGGAGCACGTGACCTCCAAGTTATTTCCTTCCCACGCCACAGTCCACTGCTAAATCGGTTTCCGGTCATAACAATTTTCGCTCCATTTCTCTCTCTCTCTCTCTCTCCCTCTCTCTCTCTCTCTCTCTCTCTCTGCACATTTTTCTAATTTCACTCTTAAAAAAAAAAGCAGCTTTATTAATATTGCTTCGTCGAGAGAAACGCTTGTAACTCGAGTATGCACAACCTTTCACGTGAGAGTGCTTTACATTGCAGTTCTTGAGCTAAGTTTGCTCATATAAATCAGCTAGGTTTTATGTTCATGGAAATTAATTAGGGTACATTACATTGCCAATTCGGAACAAATTCTCTTTCTACTCTTTTAAGCCTTGATATCATTATCCTCCTTCTTATAATACCCCATTTTCACAATTATACAAAGAAAAAGAAAATTTATACTTGCAATAGATTACAATAAATTCAAGATAAAACTTAGAAATCAGCAAGATGCAAAAAGTCCAGTTTTTCTTGTTTTTATTGCTAGCTTAACAAAGTCTCTTGATGACTGCAGTCGGAGACATCCATTTCATTTGGCAACAGCAGCTATCCTGAACATGAAGGCAAACGTTCCTTATTCATTTTCACACACGCACCACGTAGCCTTTAAAATAAACAGACCAAACTCATATTTGCCTTAGGGGATAAGCACGACAGATCCAGATGTTTTCCTATTCTCAAGGTCTTCGTGTGCCTGTGCTGCTTGAGACAATGGGTAGGTGTGATTTACTCGAACCCGCAATACACCTGATTGAACATTACCAAATACCTCTCCCACCATCCCTAGCAATTCGTCTCGAGTTACAGCGTAATAAAAGAGGCTAGGCCTAGTTAAGAACAGTGACTTCACTGCAAGGGCTGACAATGGAACCGGATCCGGCGCACCTGATGACTGCCCAAAACTCACCATGTATCCACGAGTCTTCAAGCATGCCAGTGATCCCTGAATACAACAATAACTCCCAATTAAGGATTCTTTGTCCAAAATACAAATTACCAAAAGACTGCCTACCCAGAACTCGTTATCTACCAGATTATGTTGATCTGGGAGACCAGTTGGGCTTGCAACATTTGAATAAATCACGACACAACACA